AGGTAGTGAGACTCTAACTCAAAAAAAAAAAAAAACAGTTAGAGTTAATATTAAAGCAGTCTTTGAAATAGTGATTCTCAATGAGAAGAGTACAGATTTGGGGCAAGGCTGGAGAGAGTGTCTTTGTAGTTTGAAAAGGCATATTCAGAATTAGCATTACTTGATTTTTGTTTTGTTATAGCATTGGATTTTTTGTAAAATTTTAAACTTACATGAGGATTTTTTTTAAAAAATAGTAATTCAAAAGGATCAAAGTTGAGAAACGCTATGCTGTAGGTGAAATTAGATCACAGTTTATGGGCTGGAAAGAGTCCTCAGGACTTCTCTTTGCCCTGCCTTTCTTAGATACACAGAATATATAACCAAGACAAATATCAGTGATTCTGTCCTTACATAATTACCTTCTGGGGTGGAAAGTTCTTGTTTTGTATACCCTAAATCAGAATCTAAGACTTTTGTTTTCAGAAAGTCCTGCCTCATAGGCTGCATTTTCTGATTATATATTAAGCTTATTTATTTCTTCTCGTATTCTGTTGGGGATGGAAAGCACCTGACACTCTCTTCGTAGTAACATGATTTACTTGAAAGACCTTTTGATCACCATGACCCTCTTCCATCCTCAGCCTAATTATCCCTCATTTTACCTCATGAATCTTTGCGTTTACCTTGTTTCAGGCATACCATGAAGTTCCCTACACAACCTCTTTTACCTTAGCCAAACAGCTGTCCTTTTACAAGATTCGTACCATTGCCCCAGGCAAGACTCACACAGCTGCTATTGATGGTGAGTTGATTTACAATGGTACCACATGCCTTAATATACAGGCTCTTTTATTCTATCAAGTATTCCCTTTTCTTGAGAATATATGCATCTTCCCGATTTCCCTCTAGCATCCAGTATTGCATCATTGACAGGTTAGGCATTCAAGTACATTATAAATCATTATAAATGCATGATAAATACATCTCTTAATGAGAACACCACACCTTTAAATTCCTGACATCTGTTGTCTCTAATTAGCACTTTATTCTAAGTTAGATAGTACCCATTTGATAAATTAAAAATGCAGTCCTCACCACTACACAATATGTCCATGTAACGAACATGCAAGAGTACCCCCGAATCTAAAATAATCTAAAATTTTTTTTAAAAAGAACAAAAAACATGCAGTGTTGGACCAAGCACAGTAGTTCATGTCTATAATCCCAGCATTTTGGGAGCCAAGACAGAAGGATTGCTTGAGCCTAGGAGTTCAAGACCATCCTGGGGCAACATAGCAAGACCCTGTCTCTTTAAAAAAAAAAAAGTCTTGGAGAGACAATACAATCTTGAGTCACTTACTGGATCTGATTGGTTACAGTGCTTAGTTACCCTGGCTGCCATGGTCCAGGATCACATGGCTAGCTTTATATTTTCATATTCTAACAACCAGAAGCTAGTCCAGGGAACTCTGCATTGGCTGCATCTACTCTTTGTTCCATGACCCATTTGTGCCTGGTTATTTCTTTCTGCCTCTCTCTCAGAGCGAGGCCGGCTGCTGACCTTTGGCTGCAACAAGTGTGGGCAGCTGGGTGTTGGGAATTACAAGAAGCGTCTGGGAATCAACCTGTTGGGGGGACCGCTAGGTGGAAAGCAAGTGATCCGGGTCTCCTGCGGTGATGAGTTTACCATTGCTGCCACTGATGGTGAGTCTGTGGGTAGCATCTCAGGCTTTCTGGTTGGGTGACTGGGAAAGAGGTGGACTGGTTATTTGTAAAGCTAAACCATGCTTTCACTTTTTTATTTGTATTAAAGTGGTGATCAGTTATGCATGTTGAGCTTTATTAACTTTTCAGGTGTTCAACATTGTTTGTTTTTTTTAAGTCCAGATTTATAGATAATGACAAGCTAATATTTCAAGTGCCTTCTTTTTTCACTTCAACTTCCACTTTTCGGTAAAATGTTTCAAGGATTATTAAGCACTTCAATATCTATCTGGCCCAGCCCCTTGTTGTTTCAGCAGACATGGATGGGGTGGCTGGGAAGAACAGCATAGTTTCTCTCTTGGCCAGGTCAGCTGGACTGCAGTGATGTCTGCAGGGACTGCTGAGGCCTAAGGGCTATTTGCTCTCAGATTCCTATGTTAGTCCATCTGATTCCTCTTCTCTCTTTTCTCTCATGACCATTTCTTCTCTGCAGCACCATTTGCTCCTGTCACCTCTTCTCGGCTTTACTGCCACCAGAGCTTTCCTTTGTTCCCTTGCCTTTTCTTGTTTTCTTTTTCTCTCTCCTTGTATCGTGTTCTAAACTTTTTGATTTTTGTAGCCACTTTTTTCATTTGACTAGTGAACAGCATCTTATCTTTTGACTTGTCAACTTTTGTTGTAGGTTGCTTGTGCTCTGAGTTATCCTTGTTTTCTTTTGGTCTGTGCATGTTGTGTGCTTGTGATCTCAGGGATATTGTCAATTTAGTGATGTACTACCATATTTAATTATGTAGGCCAGCTTTCAGAGCAACACATTGACCCTTCCTTCTTGTCCCCAGACAGGGACCTTAAGGAGCAAACTGTTTAGGTCAGACTTAGAGAAATTTAAACAGTATCTAGGTTGTCACTGAGAATAAATTTAGTGTAGCAAGTTCAGTAGCACTTTCTGATGGGGCCTTGTCAAGGTCATGTTTCTTAAGTAGATTTGCTTACTTCATGAGTTAAACTTCAGAATGAGACGTGTAGGACTTGATTCTGCGGCTGGGCATATTACCTCTTGATCAATGTTCCTGTGTGCCTTTGAACTGTACTTGATGGCCTCATTCATTTCTTGGTCCTCTTTGAGGCTTTGGGAATAGACAAGAGTCTCAGAAAGCCCCCACCATCAAGAAGTTCACTGTCTAGGAGGGTCGGGGACTAGCCCGGGCAGGTCTGCCAGATGCTGTGATAGTAGCATCCCACTCCTGTAGTCCTGGAGTGCTGAAAACTCACTCCTCTCTCTAAAGTGAGCTAACTCCCTCAGATCTGCCCTATGCACTGACAGCTCACTATCACTACCCTGTGACCTCCAGACTCATTTGTTCAACAGCTCCTTGACTTGGTATCTAAAGATAAGGCGGCTCCATAACCTGTTGTCCCAGATAGTCCTGACTTATGCCTGCTGTCCTGGCTTAATCATTAATAGCACCCCCTTTTTATTTTTTTAAAAGCCTAATTTGTAGCCAGGCTCAGTGGCTCAGCCTATAATCCCGCACCTTGGGAGGCTGAGGTGAGTGGATTGCCTGAGCCCGCGGGTTTGAGACCCACCTGGGCAACTTGGCAAGACCTGCTCTCTACAATAAATCAAAAAATGAACCAGGCGTGGTAGCGTGTGCCTGTAGTTCCAGCTACTTGGAAGGCTGAGGCGGAAGGATCAAGGGAGCTCAGTGGCTCGAGGCTGCAGTAGCCGGGAGCGGCCACTGCCCTCCAGTCTGGGCAACAGAGTGAGACTCCAACTCAAAAATAAATACATGAATAAATAAGTAAATAAATAAAAATAAAAGCCTAATTTGTATACGAGGTTATTGGCATCTCAGACAAACTAAGTATATTCAAAATCACACTTCTGATTTTCTGCCCAATCTGTCCTTCTCTAGCCTTCCCATCTTAGTAAATGGCAGTTCCATTCTATAATGGAACTCTCCATCAGTGAACCCTGTTGATTATCTTCAGAATATATTCAGCCACTTCTCACCACCTGTACTACCACAACTGGTCTCCCTGTTTTCATCCTTGCTCCCTTGTAGTCGGTTCTCCTCATAGTGTCCTGAAGGTTTATCTTAAATACCTATGGCTCAAGCCTCCCATGGTTTACTCTGTCAGTAAGAAGCAAAGTCATCACAGTGGCCTGCAAGGGCCCTACACAACCAGGACGCCTGCCACATGACCTTTTCTACTACCACTGTCCCCTCCTTTACTTTGCTCCAGCTGCAGGGGCCGTCTTGTTCCTTGTTTGTGCTGCTGACATGACCTCTGTAGGACCTTGTACTTGCTGTTCCCTCTGCCTGGAAACTCTCCCTACTCCAGTCAGATCAAGTGTTGAAAAAAACCTCTGACCACCCTATCTAAAGTAATGATATCCCGCCCTACTCTCATTCTTTATTTTTACTTATTTTTTCACCATTATCTTCCTCAAGCATTTATCACTACCTTAAATATTAGATTTATTTATTTGTATATTATTAGTCTCTCTCCACTAGAACATCAATTCCACTTGGTTTTGTTCACTGCTCTATCATTACATGCTGAGCCTGTCATAAAGTAAACATTGCAAAAATGTTTGAATGAATGACCAATAAAATGTTGAATGAATAAATGGATGACTGGGTGGCAGTGTGTAGGAGCAGTGGGTATTTTTACCTGGGTGGGATCAGGAAGAGTTTGGACTTTATAGAGGGAAATAAACAGCTCTCCTTTGTTTACTGAATAGTGGGAACCATTTCGGGTTCTAAGACATAAAAATGGAGAACCAAAAGTTTGGGAAGCCAGTGTTCTGTTAAACAATCTGCTGTTTAACTTTTTTTCTAGATAATCACATTTTTGCCTGGGGCAATGGTGGTAATGGCCGCCTGGCAATGACTCCCACAGAGAGACCACACGGCTCCGATATCTGTACCTCATGGCCTCGGCCTATTTTTGGATCTTTGCATCATGTCCCAGACTTATCTTGTCGTGGCTGGCATACCATCCTTATTGTTGGTAAGGGTTTCACATGTGTGGGGTTGGGATGGCTTTGACAGAGGATGACAGAGGATAGACCCTTCATCTAAGGTCACCCCTGGAAACAGAAGTGTCCTGAAGAAAAGAGGCTACTTCTATAAGTCTCGTGATGGTCGGGGTGCCATTCCTAGTGGAAGGAACAGTGTTGCTGTTTCCTGGAGTGTTACCATCTGCGGTCCCTTGATTGTTTTTTAATATAGCTCTGGGCCCTGTCTTCCCCATTAGTATTAGTTACTTCTAGTCATCCACTAATTAATTTGCTGTCCTTATTCATGCTTTCATGAGAGACATTTAGTACGTATTTTAAAAGAAACTTGAAATTGTAAATGCTTTCTGCATAAAATTACTTTGCTATGAACTATATTATAAATGACTGTGTAGGGTTTCCAGGTCCTTTCCTTTAGACCAGTGGCTTGCAACCTTGGCTGCACGTTAGAATCCTCTGGAAGCTTTTAGAAATACCATTGTTGGCCAGGCACAGTGGCTCATGCCTGTAATCCTAGCTCTTTGGGAGGCTGAGGAGGGAGGATCGCTTGAACCCAGGAGTTCAGGACCAGCCTAGGCAACATAGTAAGACCTCGTCTCTACAAAAATTTTTAAAAATTAGCCAGGGGTAGTCGTCCCAGATACTTGAGAGGCTGAGGCAGAAGGATTGCTTGAGCCCAGAAGATCAGGGTTGTGGTGAGCTGTGATTGTGCTATTGCACTCCAACCTGAGTGACAGAGTAAGATGCCTGGCTCAAAAAAAAAAGGAAGAAAAAAATCCCATTGTCCAGACTGTTCCCTCATCAATGAAATCAATCAAAATCTCTGGGTGAACATTCACACTGTTACTTTATAAAGCTTCCCAGGTGATTCCAGTGGGCAGCCAAGGTGGAGAATTGCTACTTTAGATGATGGACACAGTTAGAATAGCAAGTGGTGCTTAGCTTATGATACTGACTTCTAAAATAGTAAGTAGTAATTATAAAGTTATTTAGAGTCAGGGATAGCGATTATCTCCCTATCTCAGTTTCTCTCACTTTTTCTGCCTGTATCTGTACATAGTGCTTACCTACCAAATGTCTTTTCTCAGAGAAAGTGTTGAATTCTAAGACCATCCGTTCCAACAGCAGTGGCTTATCCATTGGAACTGGTAAGTAGCAAGGTCTCAGGTACCAGTGAGTTTCTGAAGTGTGGGTCTTTGGATTAGATTCCATGCAGACTCAAAGGAATTTCAGAAGAAAATAGGAAATTTCTTTGGGAGATGCAGAATATAGTGATTAAAAGGGAGGATCATATTTGGGTGGGTTTCACAATAAATTATGATTTGACTTATACATTGTGGTTAGAAGGAGAGTATATCTTTGCCTCCACTGCGTATGGAAATAATTAAGGGGCTTGCCCAATGCTAATGTGACGTATGTACTACTCCTTTCCTTACTATCCTAGGGGCTGTGTGTTCTCTCTGCCCTTGACTTCCATGGTATTCCCAAGCATATTTCAGTCTATAGAAAGACTCCTTCAAAACAGGCCCTCGGAAAGAAAATGACTAAGCTTTCAACATAGTTAGGCAAATCATCCCAAAGCTGTCTGTTAGTTTTCCTTTTATTGCTTTCTTCATGGTTTTCTGTTATTTGGGACCATGCCAGGAAATTGAATTTATGTTCCTTTTTTGTCTTCCACCTACTAGAGTTCCTGTAGTCTTTGATGTCTCAGAATCTGGATCCTGAGAATTAAAACACATAAACACCCAGAATAAAAGCAGCTTAAAGCTGGGCACAGTGACATATGCCTGTTGTTCCAGCTACTCAGCAGGAGGACCACTTGAAGCCAGGAATTTGAAGCTGTAGTGCACAATGATCTTGCTTGTGAATGGCCACTGCAGTCTAGGCTAGGCACCATAATGAGACCCTGTCTGAAATAAACAAATTTTTCTTCCAGAAATAAACAGTTGGAAATATGATCTAGACCAGTTGAACTTTAGTTTATACATATGAGGGAGGACCCAAAAAAATCCAGAATTAATTTATAAAAAATTGTGTATTTGCTCTTACATGTTTAAACTTCAGTCACCTTCAAAGTATTCTCTATTTGACACAATGCACCTATTGAGACTCTTTTTCTACTGCTCAAAACAGTTTTTGAACTTGTTGATTTTGATGCCTTTTAGTGCTTCTGCTGTTTTTTTGTTTCACCTCTTCCACATCAGCAAAACATTTCCCTTTGAGGAGTATTTTTCATCTGGGAAAACAAAAAAAAGTTGTCTGGGGAGAGATTGGGTGAATAGGGAGGGTGGGACACGGGGGTGTGCCATTTTTGGTCAAAAACTGCTAAACATTCAACATAGTGTGAGCAGGTGCACTTGTAAATCACCCATCAAGAAATGGGTAAATATGTTGAAAGAATCTCCAAAAAAATTAACTGAAGCCGAACACAGCCTCTCATAACAACACTAGCTGGTACACGGATGCTGATGGGTTCCTAGAACACTTACCTAGCGAGGGAAGCCTGTACTACAAGGGTCTGCCTTCTAAAGGGTAATTTTGGTTTTTGGGGGGACCCCTTGTATATACACACTATACCATATTATATATGGTTTCCTGAAGTAGTCCGTTACTCAGCATCTCTATTTGTACATGTTAATATCTATCAAAATGACTAAATATCTTTTTGCTAAGTACAGCTGTTCTGTTAAAACTTTATTTTGCTTGAATGGTATTCAGTATTTATTTATTCACTTATTTATTCATTCATTCATTTATTTTTTAGTCAGGGTCTCATTCTTTCACCCAGGCTGCTGGAGTGTAATGACATGATCATAGCTCACCATAGCCTCAATTTACCAGGCTCAGGTAATCTGTCCACCTCAGCCTTCTGAGTAGCTAGAACTACAGGCATGCCACCATACTCAGCTAATTTTTAAAAATTCTTTTGTGGAGACAAAGTCTCGCTTTGTTGCCTAGGCCAGTCTTGAAGTCCTAGGGTCAGGAAGCCCTCCTCCCTTGGCCTCCCAAAGTGTTGGGATTACAGATGTGAGCCACTGTTTCTGGCTACTTGAACAGTATTTAGAAGAAAAGCATAAGATTAAAATCAAATACCCACTGATGGAAAAATGTAAACTTAAGTAAGGGCAGGGATTTGGGGTTTTTAAAAATTCATTAATTTTATCTACCTGCCTAGAACAGTGCCTGGTAGATGGTAAATGTTCAATAACTATTTTTTGTTTTGTTTTGTTTTTTGAGTCAGAGTCTTACCCTGTCACTGGAGTGCAGTGGCATGATCACAGCTTATGGCAGCCTTGACCTCCTGGGCTCTGGCCTCAGCCTCCTGAATAGCTGGGACCACGCCACCACACCTGGCTAATTTTTAAAATTTTCTTGTAGAGATAAGATCTTGCTATGTTGCCCAGGCTGGTCTCAAACTCTTGGGCTCAAGCAGTCCTCCCGCTTTAGTTTCCCAAAGTGCTGGGATTACAGGTATGAGCCACCATGCCCTGCCTCAATAACTATTTGTTGTTTAAATGCGTTGTAACTATTCATTGGAGTGAAAATGAACATCTTCAAATATTTCCATAATGTAAAAAGCAATTTACAGCAGATTGGATGCCTTTTTCATGCCTTCAAAATAAACAGTAATGTTTAAGGATACATAAATAGGCGATACATGTTTTTAAGAAGAAATAATGAGTACAGAATTAATCAGAGCAGTTTCATCTAGGTAAGAAACCAGAGAAGGAAGACATTCCCGGGGGTGGAGTTCCAGGTCTTTCTGCAACAATGTTCTGTATCTGTGCTGTTAAGTATAGTAGCCATTAGCCTCTTGTAGCAATTGAGCATTCAAAAAGTGGCTCATGTGACTGAGGAACTGAATTTTTAATTTTGTTTTTTAATTTTGTTTAACTTAAAATGGCCACATATGGCTCATCACTATGACAATGAGTAGTACAGTTCTGGTTCTTCCAGTGGCAGATTAATATTTACGGTAAAAAGATTCTTGTGTCTATCGCAAATGTAACATTTTTTTTTTTTTTTGGAGTTGGAGTCTCACTCTGTCACCCAGACTGGAGCGTAGTGGCCGCTCCCGGCCACCGCAGCCTCAACCTGCTGGGCTCAAAGCCATTTGAAACAAAAAAGCAAGCTTTCAAGCTTTGGTAACTAGAGTTGTGCTACTGCTTCAGTAGGGCCCAGCCAGCCAGCAGACAGCAAAGCAGGGGATGTTCGGCACTTCTTTCCATTCAGTTTTAAAATTTACCATGCAATCTTTTTAAACTTCAGTGAATTTATTTTCTTATTTTTCTTTGTCTCATATTAAAATCCAATTTCATTTCCTGGCCACACATCAGCTACTCTTTATTAATATTACTTGGAATATGCTGTGTAATATGAAAGAACCAGCCATCATATTTTAAAAATTCATACAAATAGTCATCAAGGAATTTAATGTTCACATTAAATCTTGAAGAGTTTTCCCCAGGCAGGGAGATAGTGGTAAGTTTATCTGCCAACTTTTAGAGGTGATTGGCTCAAATGTTAAAGACCTTTTTATGTAAGATAAATGTCTGTGGAGGATGCTGGGATCTGAATGTATCTGTTAAAGAAGCAGAGAAAGCATGGGTGCTCAGTTCGGTGAGATGTGGTTGGGGGCGTTGTTCAGTAATACTTTAGAATATTGATAATCTGCTATGGGTATAGGATAGGATAAGCAAGGTTGGAAAGTGGAAGTGAATTATCATTAGGGACATCCTGATACACAGATACTGTGTATAAAAACTATAAATGTAGTCCTCAATACCTGGCTTGCACTGTTGTCATTCTACTTCATGCAACGCTAGGAAGCTTGCCAGGGTACGGGGGCCTTTCAGATGGTAAATCTTTCTGCTGCATAGCAAAGCTTTCTACTCTGTGCTATGTATCTGTCAGTGGTTCAGAGCTCTAGCCCAGGAGGCGGCGGCGGCGGCGGCTGTGGTGGTGGTGGTGAAGAGGAGGACAGTCAGCAAGTATCTGAAACTCCAGATCCAAGTGGAGGCTTCCGAGGAACAATGGAAGCAGACCGAGGAATGGAAGGTTTAATCAGCCCCACAGAGGCCATGGGGAACAGCAGTGGGGTCAGCAGCTCCTGTCCTGGCTGGCTTCGAAAGGTAATTCCTTTGGAAGAGGTAGCGCTAATAAAATATCTGGCTCTTGGCAGGACTAGAAAGGATCTGTCAAGGTCTCTCAGTTGTCCTGTTAAACTATTTTGCAGCAGGAATCTAGGTTTCTGATTTCTACCTGGGAAGAAATCACCAAATCACTAATTCTTTTCACTTTCAAGAAGAAGAGATGCAAAATGTTCTCAAACCTGTAGTACTCAAGTGAATGTAAATTATAAGTTACCTTGAAGGCAGTTTTTGTAATACATGTATAAAAAGATTAAGCTTGTAAATTTTGTCATTTATAGAAATGGGATATTGATTACAGGACTGTTGGTATAAAAAGAAAGAAATGGAATATTGGGGCAGTTGGAATGCCTTGCAATAGGAAAATGGTTTATGAAAAGTTGTGATGCAGCAAGTAAAATGTTGAAGTATATTTATTTTCATGGAAAGTTGTCATAACATATACCAATGCATAAAAGAATGAAATATCTGTCATTGTGATCTCATTCTACATGAAGCACACAAGAATGTCAACAGGACTGTATAATGACAATTTTAACAGTAGTTATCTGTAACTAATGGAGTTGCTGATGGTTTTTATCAGCTTCCTTTGCCCATCTGTATTTTCTCATTTTCTACAGTGAACATTTACAGTTTATGAAATGTTCAACTTTTTTTTACCAAGAAAATCTATAGATTTAAATCTCTCTATTCAATAAGAGTAAACTTACTAGCTATTTGAGAAGTATGAATAGAAGAAACAGCACACTGTTCTGTCTGAACCTTCAGCCTCAGCCTTCAGCAGCCTGGCACCTGGCCTCACTGTCATCACCTTAGAGCTTCCCAACTCCCTGAATAGCCTCCATAGGACAAGTGTGCTGAGGGAACACACCAAACATCCAGACTATTCTTGAATTTGAGTTTGAATTTGCATCACTGTTACTTCACTGATGACAGGTGGTAATTTGCTCACAGGTAGGGCAAGCTTTGTTGTTAACCACAACTGTCCTGCCCACTAGAGGGTGCTGATGTCGTGACAGTGAAAACTAGCAAAAGAGAAGGGAAATGCAGAGAAAGCAAATCACTGCAAAGAGAACTGATGAAACTATTTCTCGTATGCATAGGAGCTGGAAAATGCAGAATTCATCCCAATGCCTGACAGCCCATCTCCCCTAAGTGCAGCATTTTCAGAATCTGAGAAAGACACTCTGCCCTACGAAGAGCTGCAAGGACTCAAAGTGACCTCTGAAGCACCTTTGGAACACAAGCCCCCAGTGGAAGCCTGGGTAACTGAGCTTTTGCCTTTTAATCACAACTAGGTAAACAGTCACTGCAGGCTCTACCCAGTTCTCTTGACCTCAAGTTTCTTCCTCTAGCTTTTGGTCTTCCAGCTACCCTGCCTTAACTTTAAGTACTGTCTATTCAGCAATACTTAAAGCCTCGACCCAAGGATAAACTAGTTGTCAGAAAGGTATTTATCCTTTTATATTTCTGACAGGTGGACACTTTTTTTTTTTTTTTTTTTGAGTTGGAGTCTCACTCTGTCGCCCAGACACTCACAGCCACTGCAGCCTCAACCTGCTGGGCTCAGGTGATCCTTCCACCTTAGCCTTCCAAGTAGCTGGAACTACAGGCGATGCAACCACGCCCAGCTAATTTTTTTGATTTTTTTAATTTTTTTGAGATAAGATCTCACCAAGTTGCCCGAACTGGTCTCAAACCCATGGGCTCAGGCAATCCACCCAACTCGGCCTCCCCGAGTGGACACTTTTCTACTCCAGAAGATTGTCTTTTCTCTCTGCTTCAGAAGTCCCAACATTGAAATTCTAGAGTTCAAATTCAGTTCTTCATGATATTGCTAGTGTAGGCTCTACATACAAGTAAGAAGTAATGCTTGTCAGCTAGTGAAAGCAACACATGTACACCTAACCTTGGCAGAAATGAGATTGTGTAAATACCTCAGTAAAACTATACACCAGGGTCATTAACTTTTTCTATAAAAGTAGACTTTTTAGTCTAACTTTTTAGACGTGGCAGACCACATGCAGTCTCTTTTACAGCTACTCAGATCTGACGTTGTAGCACAAAAGCAGCCTTCAGCACCACATAATGAATGAGCATGCCTATGTTCCCATAAAACTTTATTTACAAAAACAGGCAATAGGCCACAGTTGGCTCATGGGCTGTCATTTTCTGACCTTGCTGTAAACAAAATACAGCAGAAGGGAGAAAAAAACAGAATTGGTAATAAAAACCTTTGAAACTCCAAGGTGCACGTTTTTATTTCTCTGTCAGTCAGCCTTCATGACTGACCATTTCTCAGATCTAAAGTGGGATCCACTGCATTGCATGAATTTTGGCCCTTTGGATCTCACAGTGACCCAAAGGACTTTTTCTAAACCAAGTCACGCTTTTCCCCATGTCCGCATTCTAAATAAGAAGATGCCAAGGCACTTGAAAGTTTTTCACAAAATCCTCCAAAATAGATGACTGACCTTCTCCCTTAGTCTAATGGGGACTGAGGCACAGAGAATTCCCCTACCCCATTATGTCAGTGCCAGATGCTATTGTAATCCCGGCATGTTTCTGTTTCTCCTGCATATATTCATGTGTATATATGTTTTATTCATTTAAAACCTGATTGCACTTGGAGAGGTTTGGATTGGGAACTATGGGCAGAACCCCCTGCAATCTCTCCTCTCTCTCCAGCCACCTCGCCTGAATCCTGCAGTAACGTGTGCTGGGAAGGGAATCCCACTGTCTCCTCCTGCCTGTGCATGCAGTGCTCTGCAGGTGGAGGTTGAAAGATTGCAGGGTCTGGTGTTAAAGTGTTTGGCTGAACAACAGAAGCTACAGCAAGAAAACCTTCAGATTTTTACTCAACTACAGAAACTGAACAAGAAATTAGAAGGAGGGCAGCAGGTGAGAGCATTCAAAGAATAATTCAATTTCTAAGTCTGTTTGAAGAATTACAAAACAAGTACTGAAATAGACTTCTTATGTCTTTGCAAATCCTTACTTTTTAAAGATGTCACTTTTGTAATTAATTCCAGAAGCCTTAGGTCTTGTTCACGCACCTGCATTGAATCATTTTCATCATCTGGCTTTCATTGTTTTTTTCTTACTGTTTGTTTTTTCTTTTACTTTTTATTATAAAAAATGTTAAACATTAGAGTACAATGAACACTCACATATTTGCCATCTAGATTGAGCAGTTGCTATCATGTATTTGTTTCAAATGTGTGTGTATAAATATACTGTATACATTTTGCCAAACCATTTTAAAGTAAATTATATTTTTATATTTTTTGCTAGGGTAGTTACTACTTCCTGAAAAAGTAAATTATAAAAGTTATTATTGTATTTCATTACATATCTCTAAAAATAAAGACATTCGCCAGGCTCAGTTGTTCAGCCTGTAGTCCCAGTACTTTGGGAGGCCGAAGTGAGTGGATTGCCTGAGCCCACAGGTTCAAGACCAGTCCAGGCAATTTGGCGAGACCTCATCTCTACAGTAAATCAAAAATTAGCCGGGCGTGGTAGCACGTGCCCAGAGCTCTGGCTACTTGGAAGGCTGAGGTGGAAGGATTGACGGAGCCCAGCAGGTTGACGCTGGAGTGGGCGTAAGTGTGCCACGGCACTCCAGCCTGGGTGACAGAGTGCGACTCCAACTCAAAAGTAATAATAAATAAATAAAAATATTCAGTCTCCTGAATAGCAATTCTGTGATCACACCTAACAAAATTAACACTAGTATTCTCAATTCTCAGCCAGTAGCCAGTTGATATTCCAATTTTCCCAGTTTTCTCCATAAAAATGGCCTTTATAACCCTGCCTGCAACAAATGGCAAGGTGTGGGCTGTATCTAATATATTGTTGTGAGCTTCTCATAAGACTACAGCTACAAATCCTTAGGGGCTGGCATTGAAAATATAGCACTAAGCAACTCTGACTAATGTGGGCCTGTGCTTTTCTGGACAGGTGGGGATGCATTCCAAAGGAACTCAGACAGCAAAAGAAGAGATGGAAATGGATCCAAAGCCTGACTTAGATTCCGATTCCTGGTGCCTCCTGGGAACAGACTCCTGTAGACCCAGCCTCTAGTCTTCTGAGCCTATATAGCCCCCAGGAAACTGGGATCCAAAAAACTTCACAGCACACTTACCGAATGCAGAGAGCAGCTTTCCTGGCTTTGTTCACTTGCAGACAAGGAGCGCAAGGCGGAGGCTCTGAAGCACTTTCCTTGTACATGTGGAGAGTGACATGGCCTTTTAGATAGGATCTAGGAGTGAGTTTATTGTTTTGGAGAATGGAAGGGCCCGTGGCCCTGGCTTTGTCATCGGTGACTGCCATAGCAACAGCAGCTCTGTACCTCATCTGTTGATCCCACCTTTGAAGAGGAGACAACAGTGCTCACCGTAATTGCGCTGGTAGCAGCTTATATTTCATATATCATTTTCACCGTTGATTGGAAGCTGCCTTGGGAATTCAGCACCAGGCATTGCATCTCTGGGTGAAGGAGGGAAATGTGTAAAGCTGGAGCGGGCTGGAACCAGGCGTGGCCCGCCCGGTGTCCTCTGGAGAGTGCTGAAGTATTCTGATCCCTCTCAGGAGTCCCGAGTCCAGAAAAATGTGTCTGATTGAGTCAATTTCAGGCTTGTCTTCAGAACGTTCAGTTACTTCGTGCAGCTAAATGCTTTAGGAGGAAAAGTGGGCTTAGAGTACTTTTCCTCTGAGGGTTGAATGAAATTTCTTAGTAAGAAGTAGAGAAAGGGCAGGTCCCTCCTCGTCACACAGCTGGAGTTTTAGGCTGTGGCTGATGCTGGGTGGGATTTCCTGGCTTTGGAAGATACCTCTGCGGGATGAGGTGTCTCAGAGAATCAGTGGGACAGTAGAAAAGGCCATAAGAGAAAACCATGAGGGAGAGGAGATCCTGCTTTATCTGCCTCTACTTGGTATCTTAGGGAGGGCCTAGAAGAACCTGATCATCCGCCCATGAGAAGGCTTCTTCTGCCTCTGCCTTCATGGCTCTTAGAACTTTAATCCTGACATCAGCAGCCCCAACCACTCCCTGTCTGTATGTCTAGTCAGTATTTTTTCTCTTTTAGTGTTTGATGAAGCCATATCATGAGTGAATCTGAATCATCTTTCCTACTTGAGTGGCCCAGAGCCAGCACCAAACCCTGGGTGTCCCTGAAATCTAACAGAACAATAGAACTTGCCAAGTGAAAGGAGCGCTGATCCTTTACTCATTATGTCTTTGTAGACAGGAGCAAGCTAGCTTTCACAAAGAGAAATCGTGTTGTAGAACAAAACTTCATATAGAAAGTTCTAGGCAAGCATTTGATGGTTTCACTTAAGCATGTGACTTTGTGTTGTTTCCACCTAGCCTTATGAGATATTCCTTTAGTACCTTGAGTCACACATCCTGCCTTCCTATAAATAGCTAAATTAATTTTATTTTCTCCAAACCAAAAATATACTTGATATCTGTTTTATATTGTGGGAAGTCCTGTACAATGGGAATTTTGCTGTTTCCCTCAACCTGGTGGTATGAAGACTGGCGCTTGAGGAAATCCCCATGGCTGGGGATGGGCAACTCTATTCAATGGGATCTTCTTTGGTTTGATGTTCCCATTGTTTTCTCAATTCTGGGAAGCCTAGTACATTAGTACTAATGTAATCACTGAAGCCTTTTCTTGAAGTAAGCGAAGGGGCCAACCTTGGATTAAAGTTACAAGTTCTGGGGACTTGGGAGTTGCTGTAAACCCTAACAGTGGGTTTTGGTTCATCATATATATGCAACTTTGATATTCTTACGGACTGACTGGTCTACTGTGTCCCTGTATCCTTGTGCTCATCATCTCAGCAGGCCTGAGAGGCAGGGGCAGTGGAGGTGTTCATCTGAGGATGGCTTCTGCTGTGGAACTGAGGGACACAGGCATGTTGCTGAGACTGTGGGGTGAAAGGGAGTGCTGAAGGTGGTGAGAGCCCTGCTTCTGTACAAAAGGAGTCATTCTCTAGCAGTGGAACACTGTGGTCATTTCTCTAGCATGTTCCCTTGAGAATTCTGGGTTTGCTATTCATGTGGCTGAGAATCTTAAGTTCTGTGCCTTAGAGACAGTTTGCACTTTTCCAAATTGTGCCTGGGACAGCCATATGATTTTTTTCCTACCAAAAAACTATGCAAACAGAAACCAATTCAGAGGTGGATAGAGTGAAAGGTGAAACAGTAGAAATGCCTTTGAATGGTTTTCTGTAGCTAATTCTCTTTAAAATCTGACCCGCTTTTCTTCTGTATGCAGTGCTAGGTGTTTAAGTTTTCTAGTAGTATTGCTTTTGAGTTATAGTATAACCTGAGTTACTCCTCTGCTCTGGCTTTCTTGCAGAAGAACTAGCTTGTTAGCCAGAGACTTGAAAGGTTGAGGGTGGAGTGGTTTGGCCTTTCTGTTTTAAATAAACATTTTAACTCTTAACCAGTGCTGTGCCTCAGTAAGCCTGTGCACGGGCCTCAGTCATTGGAGATAAAACACCCAGATTCTTGGCCTTGATGAATCTTGAGTTCAGTGAATCTTTATATAAATAAATAAATGTTCTTGGAACAGAAACAACACAAGGGACATTTGCACAGAAATAATCTTTGCTTCTTTCCAGTTTCTTATTCTTGCCAGCAGAATCATTTCTGCTGTTACAACTTTTTCCCAAAAATGTCTAAAAGACAGTACTGGAAGTACAGAGGGAGAAAAAAATAAGCCATTAAAAGAAGGATGAGCCCTTCTTGTACGTGCCTCCTCAGTCTCAGTGGGGGGCTTTCCAAGTGATAGTGCTGTTTTATGTTTCTCGAACGTTTCCCTCAGAGAGGCTGGGCTGCATCTGGTCTCCCTGGCACAGCACAGCCAAATTATGGCTTCTCTTGGCTGGGTACTTCACTAAAGTTTAAAGCAAAAGCAAACTAAAACTTAGATTTCATTTTGTTAGCCATAAATTCACAAACATTCATAATAAAATAACCCAGGAGCAAGGATGTCTTTTAAATAAATTCATTCAGATGAGATCCCTGAGCTCCAAAAAGCATTTGTGATAGTGTCAGAGCGGGCTGTGGTCAGGACTGTAAGACATGTTCCCTTCCTGCTGTGAAGCCCAAAATCATGTATTGCTTCAGTGATTAACTATGGAAATAAACGTGCTGCTGGTCAGGAAACTGCAGAATCACAAACATAGGGAGAAATGCTCCACTGTGTCACATCTCTGCCACCTCCTGTGTGGCAAGGCATAAACTGATGCCTCAGACACATGTGTTGGCCAGAAGGCACTGTGCCACATTACCCTTCTTACTGCTAGGAAACACTGTCTCAGCATGTCTGCGTATACTTCTAAATGAAACGAGTTTCCATGTGAGTTTCACCATGACATTTTTCCCATGGATTCGCCTTTTGAACTTTAAAATTTATAATGTTTATTTGCACTAAAGTTTCTTGGATAAAGCGGTATAAAATACATTAACAAGCAGCATTTATTTACTGTCATCATCTGAGCTATCCAGGAAGACTTAGATAGAAAAGCGTTCTTACCCCTTCCCAGAGGCCAGATCAAGCTAAATGTTAAAGACTAATAGATATTCCTAATATAATCAAGCCCTAAACATGTAGAGATCAAAGGCAACACTAAGGCATAGACTATTGCTTTATTTCCTTAGCAACATAAGAATGAATAATTGCTTCCTTGTGTCTATGGAAAGCACTTCCCACACACAGCATTTCATCCTGTCTGGAAGACCCTGATCTGTGGCCTTAAAAACATTATCTAGGATCCCAAACCCAAGTGCCTGTGGGGCCAGGCAGCTGAGGTGAGTAGGTGAAATGGCCAGGTGGGCTGCAGTGGTCTAGAGCTGTTGTCTCCGGTTAAAAGGAGCATCCGATTTGAAGCCCCACCCAGTCCGTGCTCAGTGTTTCCAAAACTTAGTGTTTCAAGAGATGCTCCAAATCCCAGTTTGTGTCGGATCATATTTTTAATGCTGGCCAGCCAAATATCTGTGGGCAAAGCAGTCCATAGACTTCCACTCTGAGATCTTAGCCACAGTGTATTCTTGCCATCTATTTTTTTTAACATGAAGTGTGAACTTCAGTAAGCTTGCCCGGGAATGTACACATTGGGTTAAATATCCCATGTCTCTTGGGTGAGATCCTGGAGAGGCTAACAAAAGCCTCATTATGTGACATCTCTTTTCCTTTGGAGCAATTAAAAAGCACAAAGCAATTCAATATATGCTCCTCTTTAAATATGTAATTCTTTTCAGCCTAGTGACCAGCAGCTTCACTGCTAAAGCCTTAAGCTCACACTGAAATTGGTCTGATCTGCCAGCCACTCAGCAGAAGCTGCAGAGGAAACAACAACAGTGTGGCCTTTGTTCTGTAGTAACATACAGTTTGGTTGTCCATCCAGGCTGGTTTACCCAGCTAAAGTTGGGTGGCTTTTCTCCAGTGTTTTACCCTGACAAGTGATGCTCTCAGAACGGTAACCCCGCTGGTACTCATGCTCCGCTGGGCCAGCTCACTCCTGTCAACTGGTGTCACATTTTTATTCACTTAACAGTTTTCCAACTTCACAAGTCTAGAACTCGCTCATCTTTTTGTTTAATTTTAAATCTCCAAAACCCATTAAAACTGAGGCCTCACTTGTGCTTGGCACTATTTTATACTGTAATATGTTAAAGGTTTGTTCGCTCCCTTTCCCTTCAGGGTTTTCTCTCTGAAGTAGAAGTTGACTGCTCTAATCGGCAGGGGCAGGTGACACTGCAATGTCCCAGCTTGCTCTGATGGTAGATTTTGCTGCCTTGTTTAAAACGTCATTCAGCCAACCGATTTGAAAGCAGAGTGCTCGCCACAGCTAAAATTGAGGTTTTTTTCCTTTTTTGTTTTTAACACATGAAATCCATTAGAAAAGAACAAGCAGAGAGAAATATAATGGGTTTCCCCCCATCCCTACCCTGTAAAGATGTTTCCTTATTACACAGTACACCATAGGAAAGGCTTAGCCTGCACTGGTGCTTTGACCTTACATACTTTTATTGGCTTCTGGCCAGGACCATGCAGTCAGGAGGCCAAGGATAGGCTTCCATGAATACTCCCTTGAAGCAAAATCTTACTATCTTTTCTAAGAGTTACCATCTAGGTGATCATGCTCCCCTGCCACCAGCTCACCCCAATGACTCCAACTTTTCGCAAGAGCAAGAAGAATTAACAGGAGCCATGGACACACATGTGGGGACCAGAAGGCACAGCCAACACAAGCACTTCACTAGCAGGCACGAGTCAGGCTTGTAAGAGATCTTTGGTGTGGCCTGCTCAGCAGCGTCTTCACCCAGCTGCTCTGGGGGCACTCACATGAGGCATCCAACCCGGGGTTGGCACGTGGGGGAAGCTAGGGCTGCAGCTGCCTCCTGCAGTTAGCCATGGCTCTCCTTGCTGATTTTAACTCTGCAGGCAGATCTGGGAGATATAAATGTTTTGTTTGTTTCTACTTTGCATCTGATTCTCCCATTTACTGCTGAAGGGAAGCAGAGCTCCTGAGCTATCCAGGGAGGTTTCCGCTGTTGTCTGCTCAGCTGTGAGGCTTCCTTGGAGGTGGAGGACGGTTCTTGATGGTCTTACACTTGGGAATGTGTCGCTCAGCCACCTTGGGAGCAAAGCGGCGGCTACAGTGAGGACACTGAATGTAGTCTGGATTTTCTGCAGGCAGGATGGGAGGCAAGTCTGAGGGGTTTCCACCTTTGGCAATTACCTGCTGGACCTCTCGAGCCTGGCGGAGGGTGCGGATAAAAGATTCGTGTTTCTGTCTCCAGTTACTCTTCCGAGGAGGGTCAGCCTGTAATGTAAAAAGCAGACTGATCATTCAACTTGGCATTTATCTCACCTCTGTCCTAAGTCTCCATTAGAGCGACAGGAAAGGAATAAAGAGTGCTAATCCACAAGGTCAAAGGGATCAGAAAAGGAGCAACAGTGATAACCAACTTGCCAGGGTCGAGGTACTTATACCAAAGGCCTGCACAGCGGGGTACTACTGAGAGGCATGCCGCTGTTCCCAGCAGAGCCTGAGAGGTTCTGTGTGTGTGGAAATACTAGGTCGTGGAAAGGGACAAGGTGCAGAGCTAAAAACAAGCTGGACCCTGTGGCTTCTCTCCCACCTTGCACATCCAGGTGTCCAACACCCCAGCACCTGCACAGGAGAACAGGGCCTTTTTCTCTGGAGAAATCGACCCGGACAGGCTTCAGACTCAGGAAGTCCAGACAGGTGAAGAATGAGGCTAATCCTGGGGCTGAAAATGGGGATTCAGTGCAAGAGCACATGCCAAATCATGGAACTGTCAGCCTCCTTCCCCCACTTAGCTCCCAGAGGACCAAGCACATGGGCATTCTCTTAGGAAAGAGAAGCGGTCTCTTGACATACCAAGCAATCCAAAGAAAGCCTTCAGATGCTGACCTTGGGGGACCCTAATTAAAGGCTCACTATTTGATAATAAGAAGGTCCTTAGTCAGCGAGCCCTATTTAAGCTTAAGCATGAGCAGGTAGCCAAGGATCATTGGATATTTGATAAAAGCTCTAACAAAAAAAAAACCCCAAAACACCCACAAACAGAAACTCAGAAAGCAGCAGCAAGGCAGGTAGCAAAAGAAAACTTTTTTTAAAAACAACAACAAGCCGGGTTCGCTGGCTCAGCCTGTAATCCTAGCGCTTTGGGAGGCTGAGGTGAGCGGATCGCCTGAGCCCGCGGGTTCGAGACCCGCCTGGGCAACTTGGAGAGACCTCATCTCTACAATAAATCAAAATATTGACTGGGCATGGTAGCGCGCGTCTGTATTTCCAGCTACTTGGAAGCCTGAGGTGGAAGGATCGCCGGAGCCCAGCAGGTCGAGGGTGCGGTGGCCCGGAGCGGCCATTGCACTCCAGTCTGGGTGACAGAGTGAAACTCCAACTCAAAAAACAAACAAACAAACAAAACAACGAAAAACAACAAAATGAGTATTAGAACAGATTGCGACCCTAAAACAAGAATGATATACTATGAAAAGGGAACAGCCGGGCTCGGTGGCTCAGCCTATAATCCCATGCCTTGGGAGGCTGAGGTGAGTGAATTGCCTGAGCCCACGGGTTCGAGACCCGCCTGGGCAACTTGGCGAGACCTCATCTCTACAATAAATAAAAAAATTAGCCGGCGTGGTAGCGCGTGCCTGTAGTTCCAGCTACTTGGAAGGCTGAGGCGGAAGGATCGCCGGAGCCCAGCAGGTTGAGGCTGCGGTGGCCCGGAGCGGCCATTGCACTCCAGTCTGGGTGATGGAGTGAGACTCCAACTCAAAAAGAAAGAAAAAAGGAAAGGGAACAACCAGAGAACGATTATAAGAACTACTATAAATTAAAACTTTATGGTGGCCAGGAGCATGCCACTGCACTCGAGCCTGGGCGACAGAGTGGGACTCCAACTCAAAAAAAAAAAAAAAACTTTGATAGCTAAAGTAAAAATTAAACAAATGTAAAATAATGTCAAGAAAATTTTTTAGAATGAGAAAAAAGATCAAGATGGAAAGCAGAAAAGATTAGAAAAATTAGAAAGTGAATCCAAGAAGTTCAACATGTAACCAACAGAATCTCCAAAAAGAAGAGGAAAAGCACAAGGAGAAAATGATTAAAGAAATAATACAATTAACATTCCTAGAATTAAAGGTCACACATCTTTCACACATTTTTTTTCCTTTTCTTTTCTTTTTTGGAGTTAGAGTCTTACTCTGTCGTCCAGGCTGGAGTGCAGTGGCAGGCTCATGGCCACCGCAGCCTTGACCTGCTGGGCTCAGGCGATCCTTCTGCCTCAGCCTTCCAAGTAGCTGGAAATACAGGCATGCACCACCACGCCCAACTAATTTTTTTTATTTATTTATTGTAAAGACGAAGTCTCACCAAGTTGCCCAGGCTGGTCTCAAACCCCTAGGCTCAATCATCTCACCTTGGTCTCCCAAAGTACTGGGATTACAGGCTTGAGGCACTGTGCCCGGCCTTAAGATCACACATCTTGAGATTGTAATGGCTTACCAAGTATCCAGCACGATCATTGTAAAGTTTCAGAATTTCAAAATAAAGAGAGAATCCTTTTAGCTTTCAGAAAAAGAAAAAAGAATCGGGTTTTATTTAATGGAAGGAGGAACCAAAATGGCATTGGATTTCTCAACAGTAACACTGAATGCTAAAAGTTCTAACATAAAATCATCTTCCACCCAGAATTCTGTGACCAGCCAAATCATCAAATAGGAGGCTATTATATAAATATTTTCATTCATTTCAACAACAAAAATATACTTGCTGTGTACCTCTCTTAGCTTCAGCAAAGCTAGGAGTTATGCAAGAAAAGGAAGGTGTGGGATTCTAGAAATAAGGGACTCAACACGGAAGAGGAGCAAAGAGAAAGCAATGGTCTGCACCAGGCACAGAAGATGACCAGTCCAGACTGGAGCAGCAAGAAAAGTGGTGGAAAGGAGGTTTCCCGAATTAAAAAGTCAAACTGAACATGAGATGTATGAGTATTTCCAAAGACATTAACAGGGATCTGACCTCAGATGGATCATTTAGGGGGAAAAATCCTAGAGGTAGGCAGGTAGAAAACAAAAGAAAGCATATTATTTAGAAATATGGAAATGCATACGAGCAGAATCATCCAGCACAGCTGGAAGCCGCCTCTGGAGGCTGGAGCGGGATGAGATACTGCTGATCTACTTTATAGGTCATTTAGCATGGCATGATCTTTTAAATGCATGCAAATACTATTTAAGTTAAAATAAATTTTTTTCTTTTTTTGAGTTGGAGTCTCACTCTGTCATCCAGACCGGAGTGCAGCGTCCGTTCCTGGCCACTGCAGCCTCGACCTGCTGGACTCCGGCGATCCTTCCGCCTCAGCCTT